TAGTTTTATACGCGACAACATGACGAATTTGCATGCCAAATGTAAAGTGAAGAACGAGAAAAAAACATATTTTCTATAGTCACCTCTCTTGAATCTAACGGTAAACTGGTCAAAATCCAAAAAGTTGTCCCGTCTGCGATTCATAGTTCGGATTTGTTTTGACGTGCTTTGTCAGTTCGCGACGACACATTCACGCGTTGACACAGGCGACAGCAGGGCGGATAAAGGTTGGGCGGCGAAACGAGCGCGTCCGAGCAAAAAGGTGTGATGCAGTGGACTGGGACTATGTTTAGAAATGTCGCCCATTTTCGACTTCCGTCAGGGCTTGCGATGTGGTTTGTCCGTTAGACACTGCCGCTGTCACTGAATTATAATTATGGCGGCTTGATTTGTTTTCTTGCACTTCTTCCTCGTTTCTTTGTGCTGGCACGTTGTCTCTGAGAGTCAAATGTTGCTATTTTTTGCGGGTGGTTTAATTGGAGTAGACAAACATCTTTTTCAAAGGGTTTCTCTCATGACTCTACAACTGAATTATATTTTCGTTCTACTATTCGCCAATGTCGATCTTATTCCAAAACAAAAACAACTAAGTACTGTCTAAAACACGAAGGAAAATCTCATCCATGTCATCCATGGCAAACCTAAAAGACAACAGATCGTGTTTCATAACTAGATGACGTGTATTTTATAAATGCGTGCAGCTCGTGCAAGGTGAAATTATGCTAATTTCAATCACCATCATCCTTGTTTTTAATTTTGAAAAAAAGGTCTCATACGTCTTTCTGTTTCTTCGAAACTTCAAAATTAGTTTCCCCTCAGTTTTTACCGTTTACCTTGTTTTGTTTTAGAGAGAAAAACGGAGAAAAAACCTTACAACTAACCTCAATAAACTTTGTTTACATGCGGTTGCCGGATTTGCGACGCAATGCGCGAATCGCCATGGCGCGTTGCACCCGAGAAGCAAAGTTTGAAGCAGTATAACGCCACTATATCAAAATATATCAATCTAATTTTTTGTTATCTTATATAAAATTTATCCCCCTTTAACATATGTAAAAACTGAGGTTAAGAAGTGTTAAGCTTGTGCAAACGAAACGGCGAAAGACGATTAGGTGATATTTAGTGGATGGAGGAGGTATTCAACACTTTCAAATTAAACTCAAATTTTGGCATTATACGACCAGCAAGTTTGACTTATAGGCATACAGACACAAACATATGAAACTGCTTATTGATATTGTTATGAAACGAATTTATCTATTTAACATTGTAGCCTGAAATTACAGAAAGAAAATAGGATTTCCGGTTTGCAAAAAGGAAAATTTCGCCGGCCTTCAAGCGCACCGGAAGCGCGGAAAGAGCGCTCGCGCCAGTCCTACTCCGCATCACACATTAAATGAAGAGCGGAGCGCTCGTTTCACCGCCCAACATTTATCCGCCCTGGGCGACAGGGACACAAATAGTTCGCGCCAAAATGAGTCACTTAGGACCTGTTTACATGGAGTGGGAGACCCTGGTCTAGTGGGGTAGGTTTCTTTTGTTTTGTGTCCCCTAGAGCGTGAAAACAAAAGAAACCAACCCCACTAGACCGGGGTCCCCCACTCCATGTAAACAGGGTCTTAATGCTTTTTTTTCGCAGGGGAAACAAGTCGAGCTCCCGCTCTCTCGCTCGCTTTTGCCACAGAAAACATAAAAAATCTACGTATACCGCTCCCGCTTCGCACTCATGAAAAAAAATTGAGCTCGACTTGTAGGCAAGTCTAGGCGGATACAAACCAAACTCAACAGATTTATAGCAAAGAGAAAATCACGCGGGCGTTGCGATGCTCGTGGGAAACACGAGCGCTTCGCGCGTGACGGGATTATAAACCTCGCGGCCAGGCGCTTTTCTTCTAGATTCGCTCGGAATTATTAATTTCAGAGAAATGTAGATAATTTCATGTATATGTAATATTAGTACCATTTAAATTAGTAACATTTTAGACATTTGTAAACACATTGAGGCGTACGCGAAATACGTGATAAGGGACGGGCCATTAGAAAAGTGATGGGGGGTAGGTGGGGGAATTTCCAGCTTGCACGAATTTTTTTTTTTCGCTCACGGCTTGTGCATTTTTTTTTTTTTTTTTTCAGATGAACCCCTCTGCACGAATTTTTTTTTTTTTTAGACAAATATTGCTTTTTTTGAACAGTGAAATCTTGGTTCATTACCTATGTTTTTGTGCTTTATAAATTATTCTACACTCACAACAGATCAAAGGATACAGGCCACTTTAAGCAAAATCTTTTGATCTTTTTCGAAAATGTACCAACAGTGAGAGAGGAGGAAGCCTCTTGGAGTGGACGGCTTCCCTGTGCATTTTTTCAGTCCCTGCCCTCTGGAATTCCTCTCCCACAGCCCATCATAATGATGCCATACTCCATTCACCAATGAAAACCATACTTTGTGGTTCTTAATTTTTGTTAAAAGTATCGGTGGCAGTGTTGCTGTCTATGTCGTTGACAGTTAAAGTTTTAACACTTACTACTACGTGTGAATGCATTTTTCATTGTATTATAGAATTCTTATTCAAGGCGGTAAGACCCATCCTCTAATTTTTATTGTGGGCACAAATAATTCTATAGAATATTTACAAAGCTACCAAATTCTAATACATGTATTTATTGATTACAAATTTTATTTTATTATTTTTATTATAATACAGTATAGAGTGTATGTTGTAGGTACACTAGCTGCAATTTAAAACAAAAACAAGATTCTAATTGTGTCCTTTCAATAAGAAGAAAGTGATTTTTGTTTATTCATATTGTACCTGGTAATATTGTTGATTTCTGAAACTCAGACTTTCTGAAAAAGTCACAATTGGACCTTCCTTCTGCATGAACTTTTTTTCTTTACCTTCTTCTTTGCATGAATTTTTTTTCTTGGCATTTTCCCTTGCATGAATTTTTTTTGGTCTCCCCCCCCCCCCCCCCCTATCACTTTTCTAATGGTCCGTCCCTAAGAACCCCTATTATTATTACTAGTAATAGTTGACACTACAGCTGCCCCCGCTCTGTATATTGTCGGTCAATAGCATTCTTTCTCGTTTTATAGCTCTTTGAAATATACCGATTCATAAGGAGGATTTTCACACATACCGTAAAATTCCGAAAATAAGCCCCTCCAAGTATAATCCCCTCCAAATATATATATATAGCTGACGTCATTGACCTTATATCTAAATCGGCGTCCGCTTTTGATCCAGTTCCGACTTCGATCAGTTTCTTAGCAGTCGCTGTTTTAAAACCAGAATCCGTGGAACATCGTCGCCACAGGTTTGGTTCTTACTTTCAGTTTAATGTATAACTTAAAACTAAGATCAACAAGGGCAGTCTTTTCCTTCGAGCACTCATGCGGTTACGCCATTGAATTAATGCCAATGCTCATAACTAACGCGAACGCTGCATAAACCGAGAGAATTCATTACGTTTTAAGTTTTAGCCGGTGGTTGTTCGATTTTCATTAGCTTGGTAAAGTAAGGCTGATTTGAAATTACTTTACGAACAATCTTCAGGTTGTTTACACGTAAATCAGTTAAAAATGTTAATCTTGTGAATTAGGCTTTACCTAACGTAGGTTCTATGTTCTGTATTTTTATGTTATTCGTTTAGTCTGACGTTCGAAATTGTGATCCACAGTCGTAATGAAAATCTCTAAACCCCGAAAAAGTCATACATCACGAGATTTTTACTTATTTCAAGATCTTCCTGTCTGCTTCAGGTCTCCACAACACCCAGACTGACGTCATTGCAACTCATTGTTAAAAAGGTTCTACGGCGCCCTTCGAATTCGGAACGCATTCCGTTTTCCCTTAATCTGAAATGCGATCAGTAGACTGCACGACAATAGAGATGTTGTTCTCATACAATTAATATCACTAATTTAAATACACATTTAAAGGAAAATTTGTTGATCGCGTGTTGTAATTTGAATAGCTCGCGTGGCATTCAAATTGCGTGATTACTTTCACATCTTTTGAAATGATTAAGTTATTTAGACTTCCTGAACTGCATGTTCCCATCAGTTTCATATTCGTTGGCTTTTATCGAAATTTAAACGAGCGAGATATTTTTAAATGACGCTATTTTGATCTATTTTACCATACGTTTTCGCCTAGTTTTTTTCCTGCACAGTTTTCGCAGAAAATATTTTTCAGTCTCTCCTAATCAATGGTCAGTTTGAAATGTCAAATTTACATGTAATACAGCTCGTCTCAGCTTGAGCTGTTTTTTTTTTTGCCAGGGGTAGCTACTGGCGGAGGCGGATTAATATTTTGGGGGAGGCGAGGAAAGTGCGTTGTTTGCGGGGAAAATGGCAAAAATACAGTTATGAAGCGTGGAGCAGAATCTGTTACGAAAATTTTTGCTTTTGAAATATTACCATATAGTTTGATTTTTTGGCAGACAAACGTTCTTGTGGACTGTGGAGTTAACAGAAACAGACAGAAATAAGAATTCTTGTACAGGTGATGAACACGGTGTTGTAACTGGCGTTGTACAAACAGAGCTCACTAAGGTGAGGAATAAAAAACAATGCCCTTACTTCAGCCTATTTGATACCACATTTCATTGAATTATGTGCCATTCAAGAAACTGGGTAGCGGTAGCTTTTCATTAAGTTCACCGTACACCCGATGAACATCCTTGCGTACATTTTCAAAGGCCATGGTTGCAGTCCAGCTCGCTGACCCGATTGTCTGTGCACTATTTTGTGCTCTTACATATATCAGAAAACACAGAAATAATTTTTAAAGATATAAATTAGATTGTAGATACCGTATCTGCAATTATTAATCTTTAAATTTATTTCTGCAGAATAATTCCCCCCGGGAAAAAACAATTTGTGCAAACCTCATCTTGTAAATACTGGCGATTGTGTGGCTGTTAAAGGTGCAACATAAGATCTCAAACTATTTTCCCTTTTAGTGTCTCCAATGCGATGTAGCTGAAAAACGGACATGTCAGAAGCTGCGACGAACTTAAATTCAAATAACACCGATGCTGGCCCACCTCAGCTGGCTGTTGGTCTTCCATCCATAAAAGATGTCACAACAACATTCAAACAGCCAGATCTACCCGTTGATGTTCTACTTGTAACGGTAAAAAACTGCGAGTTCTTAGCTTGTTACAATGAGCTTAAAGATCCCTTTAGATGTCATTTTGATGGTCTTGGTTACGTTTACTTCGCGGACGTTGTCGGCAGTCAGCCGGGGCGAGTGAAAGTAGCACTAATGAAATGTTATGAGGGTTCTACTTGCCCGGGTGGTTCCCTTATTGCCGTTAAGAATGCCGCCCCTATTCTACGACCCAAGGCCGTGATATCTGTTGGGGCATGTAGTGGTCTCAACCCTAACAAAACCAAATTAGGAGATGTCATTGTATCAGCCAAACTAACAACATATGCATCCAAAGTGGTTAAAAGCGACCAAGAACAGTGGGCTGGTATTAGCAGTTACGTGAGCAGACGGTTTCTTAACATCATTAAGAATTGCGCTCATGGATGGCAACCACCTTTGAAGAACTCAAACCGAGAAGATCACCACATCAACGTTCATAACAATGGCGAGTTCTTAAGTGGTCCAGAGCAGATCAGAGCTGAAAGCCGCCGAAAAGAACTTCTAGACCGCCATCCCCTCGCAACAGGCGTAGAGATGGAAGGAGAAGGTGAGCGTATGTCACTTAATCATTCTTATTAACAATAAACGTTGTTTTTTATGGCGACTCCAACTGGTTAGGTCTAATTAATGCGCACGATTTCACCCTCTTAGAAATGATTATTGGTGTCTTTTCATCCCTGGAATTGCCTTGAAGAGGAATTCTGAGGTCTTCCTGGCGCCTGTGGGTCTCCTATGAAAGGGCTCATACAACGTGCAAACGTTGGCGGGTTTTACCAACCAAAAAGATCGTAAACTTGGCATCTCGTACGCGAGCCCTTTGTCAAGCCAAACCAAGGGATTGGTGGTTGTGTGTAGTTTATATATGGGGTGTTGGAGTAACTCTGTTGTGGGGGGGGGGGGGGCATGATTACCTTAAAAGACAGCAATAAAGAAAGTCATGTATGAAAAATGTTTATTGAAAGTAGTTACAGTCAAAAAAGCAAAACAAACGGCGTGAAAATCATAACTTATCCTACTTTCTGTCCTTGGGCTCTCGCATCTCTAGATTTTGTTTTTTTTTTTTATCGCCGGTCAGTTTCCTTCCAGTTCGCCATCCAACTGCATATAAAAGAAACAAATCTTCATAAAAGCGTTTGTTAATTTTCAATAAAATAAAGAATGTTAATTACTTTCCATATTTTAGGTGTTTTCACAGCTGCATTTGATACTCAACTCGAGTGGCTCATTGTTAAAGGGATAGCTGATTTTGCGGATGGTGAGCAAGTCAATGCAGGAAGTTGGGAAGCCTGTGCTAGTGCAATGGCAGCATCTCTTGTCTCGCACATGTTAAGTGATCCTTGTGTTTTCCGCTCTTGGCCGCATTTTTCAGGTATAATTTCTTGTCAGTTTAGTGGGTTATGATAAATCGTAGAGGTAACAGGCCAAATTTGCCGCCAGTGGAAGAAAACGTGAATCCTCGAAGTGAAAAAGTGAGGAAGGTCAGATCCTGAGATCAAAAGGAACGTCAATATTTTTCTCCGATATTCCATCTTGCTCATTGCCAAGCGGCGTAAGATTACGAGTTATAAAGAAGCACTTGTGAGGGTTGTCGTTGTTACCTTAACTTTCAGTCACTCGGCTTTTACTATAGCCCTTCAGTTGAGTCAAGTTAAACAAACTTTAAGAAAATGTTGATTGTCAGTGTGCATGTTTCTGGCCAAAAAACGAGATTGTACATTCTTTTCGTACTATAAATATTGCGTATTTACTAGGAAGTACGGCACAAAACGCTAATGATGTCATTGCCTGGATCTTTTAGTGGATGATCTCTTTGAGCAGCTTGAGAGCGGTAGGAAGCGGAAGCTAGCTGAGCACCACATTGCAGGTAATGTATTAACAACAATTTTTAAAAAGTTCTTGTTTATAACCCCGACCTACTTTATCTGTTCCGCTCTTTGCCTCACTTTCGTTTTAGAATGCAATGAGTCGAAAGGAGCAAAAAAATTTCACGAGACGCGTATAGTCCCTGACAGCACCTCACAGGGCTGTTTTAAATCAGTTCACACTTTTTCCCAAAATAACAAAATCAAATGAAGATAATGTGGTAGTAAACTGAACCGCCCCACTCAACATCAAATATGTTATGTCCCCATGGCCAGCTATTACAATTAACGTTACAGTAGGAAAGCCTTTCCGACTAGACCGTAAATGGGCAATTTTGTTAATTCCATACAAATTTTGCCAAACTCAGCCAATTAGGTAACCATTTGTGGCGTTTTATACCACCCATTCTGTGTTACTGTCAACCGCGAAGTTATGACCCAATTACAGGGGATCGACTTTGCGGTTTTTTGGGGGGGAGGGGGGGGTAAGCTTGAAGCCTTGAAATACGACATCGTTAACTGAAACAGATGTGAAGTGGCGCGGGTATAAACCAACGGTTTTCTTCACCAGGTGCCTTGTACGATGACCAGAGCCCAACACAAATCAAAAGGGGAATGTTTACTGCCCACACATCCCAGCAAACTGAATTCACAACTCAGCAGCATCTTGCAGGTATCTCTAACAATGCATTGAATTGTGACACTTAAAAAACTATGATCATCAGTTAATGGTCCACATTACAGTACAGCTAAAAAGAATGCTTAAAATTGTGCCACGGGATAAAGTTTTTACTTTTATAAAGCTTACGCAATCTGAGAGGCGGTTAATTTTTACAGAGAAAAAGAAACGCGCAGCTTGTTGTTTTCAAACACTGCTGCAAAACGAGTCGAATTCGAGCTCAAACTTGTCTTGCAACAAATCAGGTTGTTGCAGGTTGTGAATTATTGTTGCAGAAAGTGGACAGTATAGTTCTACTTTTTGCAGCAAAATCAGTAGGTGTTGCGCGCTTTGTCAGTCCAAAGCAAACGTTTTTGCAAAAGTGACGTAACTCCCGTGTAAGAAGAAGTTACTATTCACGCAACTTACAACAACTTGATTTGTTGCAAGAGAGGTTTGAACGTGCGCGAAAAACGCGCAACATTGCTTTTCAACTTGTTTTGTATTAATGTTGCAAAACATGTTGCATGTTTTTGCTGGCTGCTTCACTGTAGCTTTAGACAAAACAGGGAGCTTAAGCAACAACGACGGCGACGGCAACGGCGACGGCAACGAAAACGTCATTTGAAAAGTGAATTCGCGCTGCTTCAAACTCAATCACGTTTAATCCATCTCGTTCAATTCGGCAAATGTTGGCAGATTATTCTGGAGTTCAAGTCCCAAGGACTGTTTTGTAGTTCAAGAAAAGAAAAAGAAAATCGTTGTCTTGTGTCCACGTACGCGTCCTCCGAAAAATGTGAAACTGGGAAGTTTCACGTCGTAATCGTGCAGTGACGGCAAAGAAATGTACAAAAACTGGGCGTGAAGTACGGGCAAAGTTGTTGTTTTGCTAATCTAAACCTGTTAAAGGTTTGAACCCAGAAGTCATTTCAAAAGTAGGTTGAGTTTGATCGTCCGGGTGAACGTAGTCCTGAATACTGACAGACGAGCAATAACGTCGCGACGTCTTTGACCAATCAGATCAATAACCAGAGTATAACACCATCAACTGACGTGATACAACTCACTTTGACTCTGAAGATGACTACCGCACAGGTTGTCGAAACGTCAGTCAATGTCAACAACAACAGTCCTATTCAGGACTACGTTCACCCAGACGATCAAACTCAACCTACTTTTTTTAATCTAAACCTATTGCTTTTTTTGCCGTTCTCGCTGCCGTCGCCGTCGTAGTTGCCTATAAGCTTCCTAATTATGGTACGATCACAGGACGATCACCACTAATAATGGTCCGATCACCACTAATAATGGTCCGATCACCACTAATAATGGTCCGATCACCACTAATAATGGTCCGATCACCACTAATAATGGTCCGATCACCACTAATAATGGTCCGATCACCACTAATAATGGTCCGATCACCACTAATAATAGTCCGATCACAACCCCTGTTAACGTGATAACAAATTAAGCACAACGTATAACACAACAAGAGGCAACAACAGGCCACCGTTAGGTTATGTCAGATATCTTAACATATTTCATGCCTCTTAGAAGATTTGAAAATCATAATATCACCCCCCCCCCCTCCCCTCAAATTTTGTCTATATGGATCTTAAACTCGTTCGTTTTGCAACATTACAAAAAAAAGAAAGCGTATCGTAGACAGAGTAGTAAAATCAAACCGATTCGATTTATAGTGTGTATTTTGTACTTCCTAGGGGTTCCAAGTATCATAAAAAGGATTCGTCAGCTTTACAAACGTCGTGAAGGACGGCTGGTACCATTTCCATGGTGCGACGAACTTGATTTCAACCTGAATGACATTTTCACCCGGCTGAAGATCGTGAACAAAGAAAAAACAAGAGGAAAATTGACCGATGATGAAATCACCAACGTGACCGCTATCTTTAGACCCCACCCTGATTGCCAGAAACCACGGATTCTTTTGATCGAAGGGGAACCTGGCATGGGAAAAACCACCTACTCACAAAAACTGGCGTATGACTGGGCAACTGAACAAGATGAATGGGACGAGTCTTTTCCATCGATTGAAGTCCTGCTCTTGCTTCGATGTAATGATATCAAATCTGGCATCTGGGAAGCGATTGACGATCAACTTCTTCCTAATGATGTTGACAAACAGGCTAAAGAGGATTTTTTAAGATTCATTCGGGAAAATCAGGCAAAAGTTCTCCTACTACTTGATGGTTTGGATGAAGCAGATTCCCATAAACTAGACATGTATTACTCGCTCGTTCAGAGTAAACTCCTCGCAGCTTGTCACATTGTCGTTACTTCTCGTCATGAGGCTGGAAAGAAAGTAAGGCCATACTGTGACACCCTGTGGGAGATTGTAGGATTTTCTAAAGAGGATGCCGAAAGTTTTATCAGAAAGTATTTTAAAGGCAAGGAACACTTGGCTGAGGAGTTGATTAAACGATTGATACTCCCAGAGTATTCCACTGGTGATCCGCTTGAAACGTTAGGCGAGTTAACTAAAAATCCACTTAATACAGCTTTACTATGTTGTCTTTTCGAGGATTTCGAAGGTGTCCTTCCAACAAGCAGAACTGAGCTGTACGTTGAAATGGTTTTCTTTGTTTTAAGAAGATATGAGAAAAAAAACGGACTTGGAAGCAGCGATGAAGACTTGATTTTAGTGTATAAAAAACAACTTTTGCAGTTGGGCAGCTTCGCTTTCGAATCCCTCCTCAAAGGGGAGTTATACTTTGAAAAAAAGGACGAAATCGTCAAGCCTATCAATTTTGGATTCTTTTCTTTTCAGCAAGGTGGCTCCAAGCGCAAGCCTTGCACGCGTTGTGCATTTTTACACAAGAGCTTTCAGGAGTTTTTTGCTGGCTTTTTTCTTGCGTTTCAGATTATCGACAAAGAAAGAGACTTTTCCTCACTTGCAGATGATAAGAGATACTTGGATAAACTGAGACAAGTCTTTTTTTTCATGAGTGGAATCATAGCCTCACGTAGTGAGGAAACTGCCGAATCCTTCTTTATTAATATCGCTGAAAAAATCAACTCTGCCGAAGACTATAAGTCATATTTCAAGTTAGCTTGTGAGTGCTTGTTGGAATGCTCAAGTGATGAGGAAAACGTTCAAACTCGCTTAGTTCGTACTTTAGGTGAGCACCTTGACATGTCCCTGACTAAAGATTTTTACTTAACTGGGATAAACGCTGCTGGTGCTTCTGCAATTTCCATAGCCCTCACAGGAAACTCCTCCCTGATTAGTTTGGATTTGGGTGATAACAGTATAGGTGATGCCGGTGCTTCGTCTCTTTCTCAGGCCCTCAAAGAAAACTCCTGCCTAAATACTTTGAATTTAAATGGTAACCGTATTGGTGAAGCCGGTGCTTCTTCTCTTTCTCAGGCTCTCACAGCAAACTGCTCCCTAAATACTTTAAATTTAAGTCGTAACTTTTTGAGTGGCGCTGGTGCTTCTTCTCTTTCTCTTGCCCTCACAGCAAACTCCTCACTGACCACTTTGGATTTAAGTCGTAACCTAATTGACAGCGCTGGTGCTTCTTCTCTTTTCCGGGCCCTCACAGCAAATTCCTCACTGACTTCCTTGGATTTGACGTATAACAGTATTGGTAACGATGGTGCTTCTTCTCTTTCTCAGGCCCTCGCAGGAAACTCCTCCCTGACTTCTTTGGATTTGAGTTATAACAGTATTAGTGAGGCTGATGCTTCTTCTCTTTCTCGGGTCCTCACAGCAAACCCCTCCCTGACTACTTTGAAGTTAATTGGAAACAGTATTGGTGACACCGGTGCTTCTTGTCTTTCTCGGGCCCTCACCGCAAATTCCGCCCTGACTACTTTGAAGTTAAGTGGTAACAGTATTGGTGACGCCGGCGCATCTTCTCTTTCTCAGGCCCTCAAAGTGAACTCCACTCTGTCTACTTTGGAATTGGGTTATAACATTATTGGCGAAGCTGGTGCTTCTTCTCTTTCTCAGGCCCTCACAGCAAATTCTTCCCTGACTTCTTTGGATTTGATGCATAACAGTATTGGCGAAGCCGGTGCTTCTTTTCTATCTCAGGCCCTCACAATAAACTCCACCCTGACTAGTTTAGATTTGCTTTATAACAGTATTGGTGACGCCGGTGCTTCTTCTCTTTCTCACGCCCTCAAAGCAAACTCCTCCCTGACTACTTTGGATTTGGGTACTAACGTTATTGGCGACGTTGGTGCCTCTTCTCTTTCCCAGGCCCTCTCAGCAAACTCCTCCCTGACTACTTTGAATTTGGTTGGTAACGTTATTGGCGACGTTGGGGCTTCTTCTATTTCCCAGGCCCTCACAGTAAACTCCTCCCTGACTACTTTGGATTTGGGCCGTAACTTTATTGGTGACACTGGTGCCTCTTCTCTTTCTCAGGCCCTCGCAGCAAACTCCTGCCTGACGTCTTTGGATTTGGGTTATAACTGTATTGGCGACGATGGTGCTTTGGAACTTTCCCAGAAACTCACAGCAAATTCCTCTCAGACTTATTTACATTTAAGTGGTAACAGCATTAGCGACACCGTTGCATCTCTCTTTCCCAGGCTTTCACAGCCAATTCTTAGGCCTACTCTGGGCCCTTAAGTCGCCCTAATTTTAGGTGACTTAGGGCGATTTAGGGCGACTTTAGGAAAATTTGCTCAAAATCTTGTGCGACTTAAGGCGATATAAGGTGACATATTAAGTGAATTAAATGTTAGTGTATACAAATTTGACATCTACTGATAACACCAGCTCTCTAGGGACACAATGTCATAGCATAAGTTAATTCAGTCTTGGAGACAACTTCATTAGTCTTCCAAATTTTCAACAATCTCAACACATAGAATACTAAAATAGTAATGTTACCTAATATTTTGAACATTAAATATCACGGTAGCTTGTGTTGCAGATGTATTCTAACCGTGGTTAGAATGCATCCTTGTTCTGGGCTCCAACGCACTCAACGAATTACCGGCATTTTGAGTTTCCCTTCAACATGATTGGCAAATGGACAATGGCATTTTTAACAGTCCAGTCCTTGCACGTACACAAATCCTGGTACACGCACCGGGGGAGGGGGTGGGGCAGAACTAGGATTTTGCCGCTGTTTTGCAGACGGACTTATCCCGGAGCCGAGTTAGTTCCATCTGTGGCACAGGCTAATATCAAGGGTGTTGGTTTAGTGTTACATTAGCAGAGACAAAATCTGAGTTAGAAGCAACCAAAAGAGTAAATTTTCTCTTAACCTTTAAATGAATTATTGTACAATACAAGGGACAAAAAAATCAATGGTTCCTTCGTTTCTTTTTCCGAAAAAGAAAACTCTAGAAGTAAAGTATTTCAGTACATCTCTGTAAAATACTGTAAGCTGGTTTGTAGCAAAAACTTTATATTGAAGTGTCTTTTTTTCATAATTTGACAACAAACATTAAAGTAATTAATTTAAAACATTTAAAATCACTTATCGATATCGCACACTATGGAAATGACGATCCCATTGTATGTCTTGGCAGTTGCTCTGCCAATGATTGTCCTCACACGTTTGTCAAAGAGGGTGTTTTTCCAATTGCATTCAAAATGCAAAGTTGGTAGTTTTCGCGGCATATATTGCTCCTTTCCTGTCTCAGTCAATACTTGCTTAGCTAGTGAACCGTACTCTCTTCCCATGGTGTCTTTGGAAATTTTGCAATCGGGTTGATTTCATGAGTGCATTTATACCCGCGGAAACAACGAAGGGGAGGGGGGTACTGTATACACGAGAAAACTCGCACCTGCGCCAGTTTCATATCAGGGTGACTTTTTGATTTTGTATCGCGTTTACATGATGATGGGTCATTTGATGTCTCGGTTATTTGTAGGTACACTTCATGTTGATAAAATACCCGTGCGATTAAAAATCGCAAAGATTGCGCATGCGCTACCCGTTCCCTGTCCACCGGCAGACCGATTTCACACCGAAATGGGTGGTCGTTTCGTGTTTACATGATACCGTTACGAAATTTCGTACCGGTGTGAAATTCTCGCCCTGGTACAACAGCCGGGGTGAACTCACGCCGGAGTGACTCGCGCCGGCATGACATTGTGTATCATGTAAACAAATATAGAGCCATGAGAGGGAACAGGAGTGAACTCACGCTGGCGCCCCGGTGTCATGTAAACACCCCCTAACCTTAGCTTCAACCAACCTCGCTCTGTTCCACACGGCAGCGTTTACGCTCTCAGCATAAAAGAAAGCATGCGTCATGTTTAAACCGATGGCAATATCAAGTGTAAATGTTGCCATTAATATCTCGGAAATTTCCATTTAAAAGGAGATCTTCAAACTATAGCCTGCGTGGCAGGCGTTAAAAGGGAGGGGGAAGGGGTAAATTTAGACCGCGAGGGAGAAAGGAAAGGAAGTATTTAGTCGAAAGCCGCGTATCGTGAGGCCAGGGGGAAAAAAAGCCATGCTATGCTTGGCCCATAAAGTTTTTTGGTTACAATTTTGTGGCCGGTTCCAGCCGTTCAATACTGGACAGAAAAAAAGATACCCCTTTCCGCCTTTGGGCTATCGTTGCTGGGACTCCGGGAAACCGGAAACAGGCCAGTTTTCTCCAGCGTTCAACCGACCACATTACTTTTATGATCAGAAAGAAAAAGTACAATTTTCTTTTTGAAAATTTATCAAATCATTCCCTAATTCAATCAAACCACGGAAGGTGGTATTATTATTGGATAAACCACACGAGACCCACATAGTCAGAAAGAGGAACCCGAGGTTTACAAAATCCTCGAATTTGGTGTTTATCGGAAGAATTTTGAACGAGATACAGAGACTCAGAAACTCCCAAATTTACTTTAAAAAAAGAGTCAACGCACATTAAGTCATCAAAATTCAAACTAAAGAATCATCGATCCTCCTGCGTTTTTGCTTTGATGAAGTATTTTTAGAGCAGCTAAAAACTAATATTTATAAAAATTTTACTTCTAAAGGATTTTTTTCGTTTTATGTTAGAGTAAGCTTGAATTTATAAGCCTTTGCGTGACGGAGAGAATTGTTATGTAGATTAAAAAAGTGACTTTGTCTTATTTTGTTGAATTTTGCTAGCTCAATAGTTATTTCATTAGAAAAATTATTACTTTAATCGAGTTATGAGTTCCTTGAAAGATGGATTCAAGCCTGAAAACTCAGTGACAGACATTAAAACTCAGACTGTTTATGCTGGTTTTCCCGATGGGCACCAATATGGCTCCCGCACGGCGCTCTATAAATTTGTGTAAATCATTTCTCCGAATAACTCACAGTGAGCCGTTGACCATAGTCTGCAAAGGGCTTTTTGAGCCAGTTTCAAACAACAACAACAACAACAATAACAACTTTATTACACATTAAACAGTTTACAAGTAATAAATTAAAGTGAACTAAAAAGAAAAAAAGAAAAGGCTGAGGAGTGTAAAACAAAAGAAATCACATTGACATTCATGGATAAATACCAGCAGTCTCAGTGAAAAACACCCCTGATATATTAATTGCGGGCAACCAGAGGAGCCCAGAATCGTAATCTTCAGGTTGCTGTTACGAATTCTTGGCATGAACGGAATGCAGAGAGTAGAACTCAATCGTGTGACCTTCTTCCAAGTAACCAGAACTCGCAGGAAATCTTCCTACGTGCATAATGGTTTGTAGAGATTGAAGAGAAAACAGTGGGAAAAAAAATGGAAAACCAGCGACTTTTTCGAGGAAATGCGGTTGAGCATTAACAGCCATGTGCGTTAGGTTACAAAGCTATCCTAAATGTATTTATTGGTCTTCTTAATAAAGCCTCGATACTGTGATAAACATGATAGTAACGCTATGCGGTAGCCTTCAGAGCGGACTTCCCTAACCGTTATTCTCACTTCCCGCCCTTCACCCCAGTTCATCCTTCCCGGGTCTTGTGCGTGTCACGCAGTCAAAGACATCAGGAAACCCCGATGATCGGAGCGGACAACTCCCATTAGGGTGGCTCGATACAGTTTTCAGGGTCAATACCTCCCAAGTTTGAGCGTAAACTACATCGCCATAAACAAAGATTTGGAAAAAATAACACCACAGTTGTATTCGATAAAGATGAAAATTTGTTATGATCAGGTTTGCAATGACGTCGGAGCAATGAAGTGAGAGCCTCCCTTTATTCAGGGGTATTGTCTCCAAGTTTTATATTTTCGTGCACAACAATAGCAAGCATTTTTACGTATGTCACGCAATGTTAGTACTGCTGTTCACGTGAAAATGAAACTTTGAGACAATAGCCCTGAATAATGAGAGGCTCTCACTTGTAAACACAAAATTTCTGACAAAATATTAGCGAATTATAGCCCTTATTTTACTATCTAACAATATATCAATAACCTTGAAACTAAGAGGTCATATAAAAGGAGGGTTAATCTCAAGAGTCTTAAATTTTTTACAAAATGTATCGAGCGGTTTAAAAATTATTTGCTAATTTGTTAAAGTAGACCGAAATGTTTACATTACCGCTAACAAGAGCTCCCCGATACATACTAATCAAATCCTTCTTTCTAGCAATCCGCTGGAGGTATCTCCATGATCTTTCACACACGCTTTAAAAAAGATTGAAGCTACTATGAGGTGAAATTGCATGTCAAAAGCGCTTTGTTTAGTACAGATAACAGTCAAACACCAAGATCGCCTTTTTTTACCGTATTTCTAACAATAAAAACTTCTTCCGAAAATATCTTGATAACGCTCTTACAGATTTCGCTTAAACTTCACTAACGGTGAGGCGGCTATTGGAGGAAAAAGCTCCAGTAGTAAACGATTTTGGAAGAACAGTTCCCAGTGCCGAGAAATATTGCTGCAAGTAAAATAGGTAATGGCATCATTTCGTTGCTATGACAACTCCGACGTCATTGCAACCCTGATCATAACAAATTTTTGTCTTTATCTAATACAACTGTGGTGTCAATTTTTCCAAATCTTTGTTTATGGCGAAGTAGTTTATGCTCCAGCTTGGGAGATATTAAACCTGAAAAACTGTATCGAGCCACCTTACATTGCCATTAATGCATTAGAGCCTTAAAACAGCGTCGTATAATTTACGGTCATACATACATACCGAGTGTTCTGTCGGACACATTCGGGTCGATTCGGCTAGTACAACCCTTCCCAAATCAAGGTTATTAACTGGATGCCCTTTCCTGTCCGCGACATTGAAAACAGAACTGCCATTGTCTAGCGAGCACAGCAAGCTCTCCCACCAGTGGGAAAGCTTGCTCGCAGACTACCCATTGTCAAGCATAATACAAAAAACCCGGAACACGCACCCCAATTCTCGTTAATATAATTCACTTTGTTACTCGCATAACTTTGCTTGATTGACAGTAAGTTTTGCGACCTTTGTTATTGTAGAATTGTGATTGGACACTAGATCACTGACGTCATAATAATTATGTCGTGCTACTACATCTAATCTAAATCGGCGTCCGCTTTCCGTGACACTTTCTTAGCACAATCGCTAATCTAAGCTTTGTAAAGTCGCTGTTTCTACCAGAGTCCGTGGACCGTGCTTACAGGTTTGCTTCTTACTTTTTGTTTAATCTATTACGTAAAACGTAGCTCAATGAGGGATGGTCTTTCCTTTGAGCACTCATGATGTCGTGCTATTGAATCTTTATGCTAAACGAATCATAAACCGACCATGAACATAGAGAACATTCGCGTAGCTCTCGAATGTTCAACCAGTGACTGGTCGATGAAAAGCTAAACTGTTCGGTTTACATTAGAGGGTCTGAATGGGGAGTCCATATGTCGTTTGTCGGTAAATCTCGGTATTTAAATGATTAACAAAGCAAGTTAATTATTCATATTCGTTTTTCAATTCACACAGTTTAACATCTAAACAAGTGTAAAACTTCTTCATTCATCGTCAGTTCATCATTTGATTGCAATGGAACTTCATTTTAAAGTCTGGTTTGTTTAGCTACGCGATAGATAATTTAAATTAACAGTCCGATGACCATGACGCCGTTACTTACGTTCTGTGAGTCCGAAGGTCGCTGAGGAGACCAATCCCAGCACGCAAGTGTCGGTAGTTTCGAAAACGAAGCACTCGAAAACGAAGACCGAAGCACGAAGCACCCAAATCTCGAAAACGAAGACCCCTAAATCTCGAAAACGAAGCACCCAAAACTCGAAAACGAAGCAACCAAAATTCGAAAACGAAGCACCCAAAACTCGAAAACGAAGACCCCTAAATCTCGAACACGAAGCACCCAAAACTCGAAAACGAAGCAACCAAAATTCGAAAACGAAGCACCCTAGATCGAAAACGAAGCACCCAAAAACTCGACACCGGTCTGTCCTTTATAAACACGAGACCAATGCTAATACAACAGGAATCAAGCACGATAACGAATCGAATGCAGTTCAAATCTACTCAAGTTGTAAATGCATTTCCGCCGCTGCGTGGGAGGCCCGGTGGGAGGCCATGTTTTGGACGTGATCAGAAAACCGAGAGCCAAAAAAATGCATATTAAGGTAAGAAACTGAAAAAATCTAATAAACAAAATACGATTTATTTTTGAATTCAAATATCCCCACAATGTCGGGCCATACGGTCGGTTGTCGGCTAACGGGTGAGTTTCCTCTGTTTCCTGTCGGTAGTAGGTAATTTTGTTTCTTGTTTTGTCGGAGTCACTTATATTTTTCGCCGTTTGTCGCTAGTCGTTTAACCCCATTCAGACCATCACGTTAGCTTGGGAAAGTAAATACGATTTATTTCTGGGTTAATTATTTAAATCAGTTGACTTCACGGAACCCTAACGCGAGAAACACTAGGTTCTTGTGCTTTTAGTTTGACGTTCAATTTGTGTTGTAATGGGGATTGACGAATTCTCACTTTGACTTTCGACTGAAAAAAGTAATTTATCGCAGCGAGATTTTTATATTTCAAGATCTTCCCGTCTGCTCCAGAGGCTACTAGACCGTGAATTGTCAATTCACTATTGTTGACTCATACCTTCGGCATGCGTTCAAACCTGAAATGTGATGGTTTAATTACCGAGAGAAAAAAGCTACAAGTCATTACATTATACATTTAATGTAGTTGTAGGTGTACCTTAAAATTCCGCATATAAGCCCCTTTATGTATAAGCCCCTCCAAATATAAGACCCCTAAACCGGTAACGCAAGAAACCCTCCGTTAAATCGCCCCTCCAAATATAAGCCCCCCGGGGGCTTGTACTTGGAAAATTGCCCTCAAATACAAAGTAAAACAAAGCTAAAACTGTACATTTACCTCCAAGTATAAGGCTAGCCCAATCGATTTTGAAAAGCAAATATCCCTCTGTAGATAAGCCCCTCAAAAAGGGCCTTTGAAAAATATAAGCCCCGGGGCTTAGTTTCGGAATTTTACGGTATTTTAAAGTAGATTTGTTGATCGCGTGATATATTTCAGGCCCACGTGACAACTGAGTATTGCCTTTTCCCTGCAAACGGCTGGTCCTTCGATTCACTTGGATGACCACCTCAAATTTCAATCCCGCTTCCGGTAGGAAACGTAAAAATAGTGTTGACAATAAGTACTTTCGGGCTAAATACGTACAAACTCAAATAAAGTTTTTTTATTATTATTATTTATAAATATAAAAAGGAAATTAATTCAGAGATTGATAATTGTAGGTGAAGAATTTTCTCTTGGGGAAAAATATTTTGTGCAAACCTAGAGTGATTTTACTTGAACCGTGAAACAGATATTAACAAATGGTACAAAATAGCGAGATGTAAACAAAAATTCTACTACCTATTTCACGGTTCGAGTAAAATCACTCACCTGAATAACTTGTATTCTTTAACCCTTTAAGCCCTAATTTCCACAAACAAATTCCCCAAACTGATTTGTATACATTTCCTTTAAGAATTAGATGAGAGAATTTGAAAACCGATCAAAGCATTTTCTCTTCAGTGATCATTTTATTAACTCTCATAACCATTTCTCTTGGCAACATATGGATATTGTTAGGAGAAAATTGATGTTGGTCACTATTGGGACTTAAAGGGTTGATAGTACCTTGTGTCATTTTGATAGTTGTTTGGTTGATAAAGGTGCTACTTAAGATCTCAAACTATTCTACCTTTTTGTGTCTCCAGTGCGATGTTGATGTGAAAAACGGACATGTCAGAAGCTGCGACGAACTACGATTCAAATAACGGCGATGCTAGCCCACCTCAGCTGGCTGTTGGTCTTTCATCCATAAGAGATGTTACAACAACATCGAAACAGCCAGATCTACCTGTTGATATTCTTTTAGTAACGGTTAAGGACTGCGAGTTCTTAGCTTGTTACAATGAGCTTAAAGATCCCTTTAGATGTTATTTTGATGGTCTTGGTTACGTTTACTTCGCGGACGTTGTCGGAAGTCAGCCAGGGCGAGTGAAAGTAGTACTAATGAAGTGTCATGAAGGTGCTGTCGGTCCGGGTGGCGCTCTGACTGCCGTTAAGAATGCCGCCCCTATTCTTCGACCCAAGGCCGTGATATCTGTTGGAGCATGCAGTGGTCTCAACCCTGACAAAACCAAATTAGGAGATGTTATTGTATCAGCCAAACTAACAACATATGCATCCAAAGTGGTTAAAAGCGACCAAGATCAGTGGGCTGGTATTAGCAGTTACGTGAGCAGACGGTTTCTTAACATCATTAAGAATTGCGCTCATGGATGGCAACCACCTTTGAAGAACTCGAACCGAGAAGATCGCCACATCAACGTTCATAACAATGGCGTGCTCTTAAGTGGTCCCGAGCAGATCAGAGCAGAATGGAGGCGAAAAGAACTTCTAGACCGTCATCCCCTCGCAACAGGTGTAGAGATGGAGGGAGAAGGTGAGTGCATGTCACTTTTAAAAGCGTCTCAAGCGTACGCCATGCACAAGACCCCAAGGTCATGTAGGTAGCTATAATTCGATCATATCTTCGCCGTTGTCTTCACCAAAGAATGGTGTACCGTCATGGCTTAGTTTGATACATTTTCATTGCTTTGCGTTCTTGTCACGTGTGTTTTTTGGCTTCGTTCCATAGCTGTAAACCTAGAAATTTAAAGAAAAAAGGAATATTATAGTTTTAGTGAATTATTCCATGGCAACTACTTTAGATATTAGTTGGCGGTTTTATTGGATAATAACGTGAAAATAGGTCACGTGTTTACTCAGAAACTATAATAACTGATTTAACTTGTCGTTTATCGACTGATATATATATATACTTGTTCGCGTACCTAACTTCCTCAAGTTTAAACCCCTGCCCACGCCAAAAAATTATTGAAACTATCGGTTTTGTTTACACTCTACAAAATCGTTTCCATGAGTGTCCTCCCCCCCCCACCTTATCCCAACGTTTACATGGAAAAGCCGGAATATGCTATTTCGCAACGAAACAAAAAATATATTTTCCTCCATTTTCATTTTCTATTACATGTTTCTTGCCTTGTGGTAATAATATATATATATTTTTGGTTCTTTGAAAACATTTTATGAAAAGCGCATGACAAGGCACTTCCGCGGTCCACGTCACATAGCAGACATACACTTGGCAAAATTTTCGAACAAGAGTCATGCATGTAATCGGTAAGATAAATGAGAACATTATTTTATTTGTCTGTGGTGTCAGAGTCTGATCTGGGATCGCCTGGGTCCGACATGGACAGCTTTCAATCGTAACGCAGACCTTTACAGCCGCGAATTAGGCTTAAGCAAAGAAGTCAGCTGTATTTAAAGAGTGGTTATTTTCTGAAGGAACTGCGGTACAACGTCGGTAGGAGGGTGAGGCGCAATTTTTTTTTTTCATCTGTCGTAAGGGTAGGTGCTCGATCGCCACGATCATACGGAAAAATAAGGGGATATGAAGAGTGAGTTTATAGAAACATCATCATCGGTCGACCAAAGAGCACTCGACTGTAAGTCGTCTCCAACTGGCTCGGTCTTGGGTAGTGCACACGATGTCAGCCTCTTAGAAAAGCGGGGGTCGGTACATTACTGTACTTAACGGAAAAAGGACTTCTGAGGTCTCCCTGGGGGTTTTCTACCATGGGAGGGCTCATACAACGTGTAGATTTTGGTGGGTTTTACATGAACGTAAAAGAGATTGTAAGTTTGATATTTCAAACGCCAGCCCTTTGTCAGAGCAAACCGAGGCATTGGTGTCTGGTTTATCCCATATATAGAGTGGTGGACTATGAGCAACCCTGTTGGTGGCGGCATGCAAACATAAAATAACAGGAATAAAGAAAGCGCAGGAAAAATATCCACTGAAAAAAGTTGCTGTCAAAAAAGCAAAACCAAACGTCACGAAATTATAACCTATCCTACTTTCTGTCCTTGGGTTGTAGAAATCTTTTGTCTCAGTCTTTTCTTGTCTCCGGTTTGTCTACTTCTAGTTTGCAATAAAAGAGAAATTTTCATTCAAATTTAATCGTCAAAAATATTACTAGATTCGAATTAGAAAGTAAAGAATTGCAAGTGAGTCTAAGCGCCAGGCAATTGATTTTTTTTTTTTTTTTAGTTTCTTTCATCTATAAGAGGTAATTTACAGAAAGTAATATATCCTAAATGTGTTCCATATTTCAGGTGTTTTAACAGCTGCATATGATACTCAACTCGAGTGGCTCATTGTTAAAGGGATAGCTGATTTTGCGGATGGTGAGCAAGTGAATGCAGAAAGTTGGAAAGTCTGTGCCAGTGCCATGGCAGCATCTCTTGTCTCACACATACTAAGTGATCCTGGTGTTTTTCGCACTTGGCCTCATTACCAAGGTATCGAATGTTTGTTAGTTTAGCTAGTTATAACTTAATGCAGGGGTAGAAGAGAATTTGCGTTTAGTTGAAGGTACTTATTGGTTTGTCCAGTGTTCCATATTCAATGCCAACTGACCTCACAATGTTAGTCATGAAACAAGATCGGCTTCATTAAACCACGAGTTTAACGTTTTAAGAGCAAACCTCGCTCTTGCCTGCGTGTAGACGTCTCCTATTTCCTTTGCTGTGTTTGCACGCAGGCAAACCTCGCTCGAGTTGCAATAGCCCGAGAAAGACGTCTGAGTCAACAAGCCGCTGATGCCGTTCAGTGACGTCACTACTTCGCTGCGGCAAAGACAGAAATATTGTCCGGAAAGGTGTACATCGTACAGAATTGTTTTACTGGACGAAAGCCCTAAATTATGTTAAACGTTCAAACTGTTGACTCTGTTGACTGCATGCTGTATTCTGAATGAAACTTTTGCTTGTATTGCGCCATAATTGAATAGTCAGACTCGATCTCAACCACGCAACAATGAACATTGAGACACTTCCTTCAATTTGCTATAAAATAACAGAAGCTATTTGGTCCTTTAAGAAGAAGAAAGCAAGCAATCTAGTTAGGAAAGAAAGAAAAACTAACACAATCATTACACTTGCCAGTGGAAATGACATTAAGTTCGAAAATTTGCTAGCTTGACACAGGCTGCCTTGTTATAAATCTCACAAAAATCGATCACTTGTGCAGTCAATGCTGAAACTGCAAAGCGGCTCTGAATGTGCCGACTTTCCGCATTGATTCTTCATTCGTAGTTCAATTTAACAAGTCAGAGTTTCGAAAACAGGGGTAAAGATAAAGATTGTCGAAATTTAGCGGACTTTACGCAAGCATACGGATCTGCTGATTATCAAGATTATCAAATGACAGTCCTGATAAAATTTCGCGTAGTCATACATAATTTTGCGAATGTTTAGACAATCAACCACCTGGTTTTCGGGTAGTGACGTCACTGGACAGTATTAGCGGCTCGTTTATTCAGAAATCTTTCTCGGGAGTTTGCGACTCGAGGAGACGGCTGAAATTCAGGTTATTTACGAGTTGAATAAGCTTGATAGACAAACGTACATGTTTCTGTACTGAAATCGAGACCATACACTTCACCCTAAGCTCAAATCAATTGCGTTTTCACTCGCAGCACAAAACACTTATGATGTCTTTACTTGAATCGTTTCAGTTAATGCTCCCTTTAAGGCTCAGCTCAAAAGCAGCAGGAAGCGGAAGCTAACTGACAACCATGCAGGTAATATATTAGCAACAATTTTTTAAAACTCGTCTTTATAATGCCTACCCATTACTTGTTTCGTTGTTTCTGTATACTTTGCTGCACTTTCATTTTTAAACATAGTGAGATAATGTTGATATAGTGATATATAATGTTGATGTTATACCTGGTCTCAGCGATCATGACATTATAACGGCCAACCTGCTCCATCGTGCATTTGTAAAAAAACCCAAGCGTAGGAAAGTGTTCACCTTCAGGCGTGGTAACTCTGCTAACGTCCTTCAGGGTCTTTCAAGACAATGTGAGAAGTTTCTTTTATCTGTTTCTACCAATTTGCCATCAGTGGAGTCAATGTGGTCCACATTTAAAGATATGTTGATGAGAAATGCTAGAAAGCACTTCCCACGCAAGCTCACTTTTAATCAAGCCTTCGAACTGAAACCCCTGGTTTGCCTTCTACCAAAGGAACACTCCAGAGTCTTGGAGAAATTTTTGAAACTTTAGGCGTAAAACTGAAACATTGCAGAAAATCTACTAGAAGTAACTATGTCTCCTCCATATTATCTGATAATATGAAAGAAAATCCTAAAAGGTTTTGGAAGTATGTCAAGTCACAACGTCAAGATAGTCTAGGTGTACCTACGCTGAAAATAAAGGATTACGTACCTTAGCTCAAACGTTGTGAAGGCAAATACTCTCAATGAATTTTTTCATTCTGTTTTCCCTAAGAAAAACATGGAAGACCTTCCAGAAATTGAATCTGCCCCTGGACCCCTAGGAGCAATATTATATTAAGATCTCCCGTTGAAGGCATTTCTAAGTTGCTTTCCAAGCTCAATCCCTGAAAAGCCTCTGTTCCTGACCAAATTCCACTTTATTTACTTACAATTTCTAGCGAAGTATTGTTCCAGTCCTTTGTAAAAATCTATCAATGTTCTCTTGACACTGGTGAATTACCTTGTGACTGGAAACACGTTCTTGTCCCACCAATTTTCAAAAAAAGGATCTCGTTCAGACCCCTCCAACTATCGACCTAAAATGCCTGCTTTGTAAGACTCTTGAACATATTATTTATTCCAACATAATGTCTCACTAAGAAGAGCACTCGCTAGTCTCAGATTTCCGGCACGGTTTTCGCGAAGGGTTCTCTTGCGAATCACAATTAATTCTTACCCTGCATGAACTTGCCAACAATTTTAAGCACAAACCGACTTTATTCTGTTACATTTCTCTAACGCCTTTGACTTCGTTCCCCATCAAAGGCTTCTCCTCAAACTTGCCTCTTATGGCTTACGTGGTTATACTTTGACCTGGATTGAATCTTTCTCAACAAATTGTACACAATCTAGAGTAGTTGGCGGGTGCCAGTGTGGGATATCTCTTCTGGCGTCCCCAAGGATCTGTTCTAGTCCCCCTACTCTTCCTTTTCTACATAAGCGACCTCCCCGACGATATCTCTTCGCAAATTCGCGTTTTTGCTGATGACTGCATAATCTATTTTGAACTCTCCTCCGCTAAGTCACCTGAACAACACCAGTCAGATCTAGACTCCCTCTCAGTATGGGCTGGCAAATGGCAAGTGCGTTTCAATTGGAGCAAGTGTTATCGTATGCACATTACCCGTAGCAGATCTTCAGTCATCACCACTTACTTCCTGAATAATCGCCAGGCTCTTGAAGTGGCGGATTCACACCCTTACCTCGGTGTTATTATCTCATCTGACTTGCGTCTTAATAAACACTGTGACTATGTTGTAAATAAGAGAACTAAGATTCTCAATTTCATCTCTCGCTACTTTTATCACTGTACACGTAAGACTAAGGCCGAACTATATCTCACCCTTGTACGTCCGACCCTTGAGTATGCTTGTTGAGCTTGAGATCCTTATACAGAGAAACATTTCTAGCCTGGAAAAAGTTCAGCGGAGAGCTGCCCGCTTTGTCTTTCGTGACTATTCCCGTGAATCAAGCGTCTCTTGCATGTTGAGTACCCTGGATTGGCCAATAATCTCTGAGCGTCGCGAATGCCAACGACTCAACGTTACGTTTAAGGCGTCCCAGAATCCTAATGATATAGGCCTCTCCAAGTATATATCCTTTTCTCACTCCCACATTAGTCGCTCAGGCGACATGAAATTTAATCACCTCCCTGTGGGAACTGATATTTTTAAGTTTTCCTTTTTTCAACGTACTATTCCAATATGGAACAGCCTTCCTCAGGAGATAGTTCATGCACAAGCCCAGCATCCTTTAGTGCAGGGGTTAGCCCGTGGCACATGCTTGTCTGCCTAACTTAAATAATTAGTTGATTTATTTGACTATATTAATTAGATCCCACTTCATAGTCGTTTTTTGCAGCCTACAAATTTGTTTGTATATTGAGACATTATGTTGAGACATTATGTTTATGTTGTAATGCAATATATCTGATATGTATTTTATTTAGTTATTTTCTTATCGATTGTATAATTAACAATTATTCCACGAGGGCGCGTTGGATATGAGATGATAGATAGCCAACGAGGCGCATAGCGCCGAGTTGGCTATAATCATTTCATATCCAACAAGCCCGAGTGGAATAATTGTTTTATTAAAAACACCCACAAAATCTCGTTGAATCGCCCCGACTAGAACAAACCGGAAAAGACTAGGGACTTCCACTTGACATGTCACACGTCTATCAAAACTGTCAACGCGCGAACGGGCTCGTCTAGATTGCATGAATGAAAAATCAAAACATTGTGCGATGAACATTAGTTTTTTAAAAACTCATCGTGATTCTAGGATTTTACACAGCAGAACAGCTTAAAAAACCTGGCAGATAATGTGAAGGAAAGGAATTTTTAAGTGACAGCCGTCGAAATTACTATGAATTTGGATTTTCGGTGCAGTTATAAAAGTAAGAACAACGGAGAAAAACTACCGGTGTTACCTCGTCGCTTGTTATGAAGTTGTTTGAAGCCACAAGCTGGTTTTGCTGAACGAGGAAAGAAGCTATACTGCCGCCTCGATTGCTCTAGTGAATGGCTGCATAGCCTGTATTTGTAGCTGGCTACTTGTGATTAATATTCTTGATGTTGGATAAACAAGCTGCAGTTATCTATCGGCGAGTGACTCGATCGGCGAATGGCTTCGCGATCATGAAGAAACAACACTTGTCTTCTTTCGTAGCTGGTCAAGGTACTTTAGTTCCATCTGTCTTTCGACAAACTTTCAAACAAGCTCTTGTGGCTTTTTTGTTTGTTTTTGTCTTTTTTCTTTCGTTGAAATTGCATTTCTAGTATTCTAAGAAATGAATTAAAACGATTTGCTTCGGGCGCCGTTCTATCCTTCGCGAAAAAAAATCTCAGCTAGCTTCCAATTTTAAACTGACGCGTACACCGACCATATATGGAGAACATGGTATATTAGCTCATATACCATAACGGCTAAGCCAATCAAAATGCTAGAATTGCATTATCCAATGATTCAGTTTTTAATAATATGCAATAAGCGTTACTGATTGATAAAAAAGAAACAGAAACAGAAGGAGAGGAAACAAAAATCAGGAGTTAATTAAGTCCTCCTTTAAAATGTATATGTTGTTGTTGTTGTTTTGTGTTGCTCTTTTTTGTACTTTTTGTGCCTCATATTCTTTCCAAAATGCAGTAAAAAAAAATTACCAGGAGGCAAGTGTGCCACCTGATAGAGATGGCTGTGTGACAATGTAATAAAACCTAATCGATCTAATTTGTAGTATTTTGTCTTCGTAGGGTTGCCTACTGATATCACAGAAAAGATTCGTCAGCTTTATCGAGACCGTGAAGGGAAACTAGCACCATTCGCTTGGTGTGATTATCCTAATTTTAACCTGAGTGATATTTTTACTCGATTGAAGATCGTGAATCGAGAAACATCACGAGGGACGTTGACCGACGATGAAATCACCAACATGACAGCCATCTTTAGACCCCACCCGACGTGCCAGAAACCACGTAAAGTTTTGATTGAAGGGGATCCCGGCATGGGAAAAACTACCTACTTACAAAAACTGGCGTATGACTGGGCAAACAAACAAGGTGAATGGGACGCGTATTTTCCAGAGATTGAAGTGCTGCTCTTGCTTAGATGCAACGACATAAAATCTAGCATTTGGGCAGCTATTGATGATCAAATTCTTCCTGAAGATATCGACGAAAAGGTCAAGGAGACTTTCTTCAAATACATAAAGGAAAATCAGTCCAAAGTTCTGCTGTTGCTGGATGGATTAGATGAGGCAGACCCCTGTAAACGAGACATCTACCTCTCACTGCTCACGTGTAAACTTCTCTCAGCTTGTCACATTGTCATTACTTCACGTCATGATTTTGGAAAGAAAGTAAGGTCATACTGTGACACACTGTGGGAGATTGTAGGATTCACAAAAGAGGATTCGAACAGCTTTATCAGAAATTATTTTCAGGGCAAGGATCACTTAGCTGAAAAGTTTATTAATGATCATGTTGAATATTGGTATGCTGACCCAATTGATGATATTAACCGCGGCTTCGCCGATTTGGCGAAAAATCCACTTAATTTGACTTTACTCTGTTGTATTTTCGAAGATTCCGAAGAAGTTTTTTCTGAAAGCAGCAGAACCCGATTGTACATTGAAATCGTTCTCCTTGTTTTGAGAAGATATGAAGAAAAACATGGGCTTGCAAGTAGCAATGAAGACTTGATTTCAGTTTACAGGAAAGAACTTTTGCTTTTGGGCCAGTTCGCCTTAGATTCCCTCCGTAAGGGAGAGTTGTACTTTGAAAAAAAGAAGGATGTCGTCAACGCTTTCAATTTTGGGTTTTTGTCTTTTCAACAAGGCGGCACTACGAGCAAACCTTGCATGCGCTGTGCATTTTTACACAAAAGCTTTCAGGAATTTTTTGCTGGATTTTATCTTGCATTTCAGATTATCGACGGACAAACTGACTTTGCCGACGTTTTAACTGATGGAAGATATTTGAAGGAACTGAAAGAGGTTTTTTTGTTCATGAGTGGAATCATAGCTTCAAACAACGAGGAAGCTGGAGAAGCCATTTTTATTAGTATGGCCGAGCATATCGGGGGTCTTCTCCGCGCATCCGACCAAAAAGTGAAATCGTATATGACGTTGGCTTGTGCATGTTTACTTGAATACTATTTAAGCCTTACAGAAACTCATTTTAATAAAGAGAACGGGGTAACTTCAATAGAGAATACTTTCGGTATGCACCTTGACATGTCTTCCTTGACTGAAGTGGATTTGTCTTCCATTGATATAGAGGATGCTGGTGCTGCTGCGACTTCCGTGGTCCTCGAAAACAACTCCTCCCTAACTTATTTGGATTTGAGTTTCAACAAAATCAATGCCGACGGAACTTTTTCTCTTTCCAAGGCCCTCACAGAAAACTCTTCTCTGATTTCCTTGAAATTGAGTGTGAACAATATTTGTGACACTGGTGCTTCTGCTCTTTCCCAGGCCCTCACAGCAAACTCCACCCTGCATTCCTTGGATTTGAGTGCTAATACAATTGGCGACGCTGGTGCTTCTTCTCTTTCCACGGCCCTAACAGCAAACTCTTCCCTGACTCATTTGGATTTAAGTGCTAACAGTATTGGCGACGTTGGTGCTTCTTCTCTTTCCACGGCCCTGACGACAAACTCCACGTTGCAGTCCTTGAATTTGAGTCAAAACAGAATTGGCGATGCTGGTGCTTCTTCTCTTTCCCAGGCCCTAACAGCAATCTCCACCCTGCATTCCTTAGATTTGAGCTATAACAGAATTGGCGACGCTGGTGCTTCTTCTCTTTCCACGGCCCTAACAGCAAACTCTTCCCTGACTCATTTGGATTTAAGTGCTAACAGTATTGGCGACGTTGGTGCTTCTTCTCTTTCCACGGCCCTGACGACAAACTCCACGTTGCAGTCCTTGAATTTGAGTCAAAACAGAATTGGCGATGCTGGTGCTTCTTCTCTTTCCCAGGCCCTAACAGCAATCTCCACCCTGCATTCCTTAGATTTGAGCTATAACAGAATTGGAGACGCTGGTGCTTCTTCTCTCTCCTCGGCCCTAACACAGAACTTCACCCTTCGTTCCTTGGATTTGAGTATTAACAGCATTGGTGACGTTGGTGCTTATTTCCTTTCCGACATTCTCAAATTTAACTCTACCCTGACTAGATTGAATTTGCGTGGTAACAGCATCGGTGAAGTTGGTGCTTTTTTCCTTTCCAAGACCCTCACAGCAAACTCCTCCCTGACTGCTTTGGATTTGAGCGATAATAGAATTGGTGACGTTGGTGCTTCTTGTCTTTCCCAGGCCCTCTCAGCAAACTCCTTCCTGGACACATTAGATTTGACTGATAACGATATGGGTGTCGCTGGTGCAGCTTCTTTTAATGAGGCCTCTAAGATAAACAAAAAATTGGATGTACGATTTTAAAAGGAGAATTAATTTAATTTCAGTTACTAGTAAGTCAGAGATTAAGGTTGTAATGTTGACATGTCCGAACCATGCAAGTTAAAAGGCAAGGAAGCGGCTTAGGAAATTCGTTGTTCATTTACCTCGTTCTTAAATTGCATAGACAAGAACAGTTTTGTCTCGGTGGGCTACGGTTCTAATTAATCCTTCTTCGAGGATCTTTGCTCCATGTGTGCTTCAAACAAGTGTTTTTAAAGGAACATTATGTTCACACAGCCCAAAATGACGTAATAATTGCTTCTTGGCGTAAAAACGGCAACCCTTTTTCCATTTATATCGTTTGGAAATATCAGAAAATATTAACAACTGCTTTCCTCTGCCGAATCAAGAAAAAAAAAAAAGCACAAAAGCAATTCATTTTTACCTCTGCGAGTTAGTGTCAGCTCCAAATCACCATTTTCCAACCTTTGTTTTTTTGGACCAATGCGTTAACACATTAGAGAGTTTAAGCAGCGGACGTTCTTGAGGTCACGGACGTCAAGAAGGTTGGGCCCGGTCTGGATCGAGTACGGCGTTTGTGGCGTGAAAACCGAAGATTTTAATCGTGCGTTATACCCAAAACAATCATGATTTATTGTTTTTTGTATAACGCGAGTCACGGACGTCTTGTCTGTGTTTACTTAGCTATTGTCCTTAAGTTTTAGCCCCTCTCCCCCCCCCTTTCCCCTGCCAGATTCACAAGTTAAAATAGTGATCTCATCTCTTTCTTACTGCCTGCTCGCCTTCGCAAGCTTAGGTCAAGTGATAATTTTGAATTCATGTTCACTCGTTATGAGAGTCACTTTAATTTGTGTGACCTTTTACTACGGCAGGGGAAGGAGAGCTGCCTGAGATGCATGGGTATTTGGCTTAGTACCACAAGTTACAGGCCTGCGAAAGGATATTTCCACAAGTTGTGGATAAGAGAAACGCTGCCACTCTTCTTCCGATATTACACGGACGTTTGGGCAGCCTACAGAAGGTTAGCTACAACCAGTTGCAAAAATGTCGAGACACTCCTACGAAAAAACGACCCTTCTTGCTTCAAATGGCTGCTGGTCACAGGTCTATGAGATATAATACTGACCACCCTCCTTCCTCCCAGTCAAAGTTGTTCCCCCAAGTTTTGAGCATGGTCTTGTGTTGCTAGCATCTTTGATAAGTGGTGGAGGGGGCATCACAAGGACAAGATCATGGACAGGCCATTTATACCAAAATGCGGTGCAGTGTCTCAAGTACTTTTGCAACTGGTTGTAGCTACCCTATCAAGTAGTCGTTCATGCACACAATTTCTTAGACCCCCGTATTGGTGTGCATACACAAGAAGTAGAATCAGCCTGGTATCAGCTGAAGCTGGGGCAAAAAAGGCGGAAAGGCATAAAAAGAGAAGACTAACAGTAGTGATATCTTGACGGGGGGAAGTGTCGTCAATGGAGAGGAGAAAATTATGATGTTATCATGCGAAATTTCTAGCCCAAATTGCCTCTTCAGTATGATCTTGATACTCCAGTTTGGTAATATGGAAAAAATCCTATAAGGTTATTGTAGAGTTTTCATTTTTCATGGTAATTACAAATTGGTACATTAGTTTAGCCAATTAAATAATTAAGTTCCTCGTAACAACTCGAACAAATTAGTTCCTCGTTAGTGCCCAGTGGGCCATTTTCGGTAAAGTGCAAATGTAAATCTTCTGCGTACCACAGTCTTGCATATTGCAAATATTGATTGTTCTCCTCGCCCTCATTGTCTCTGACAAAACCTTGTCACAAATGGACCGACAATACAAGAGCAAAAAGGTTCCGCGTGGATTAGCCCAAACCATTGGGTAAATACACCGCGAAGACAATGACAAGGACGCAAATATATTATGCAAACAGACAAACAACGAAAGACTTGGCCAATTGCAGAACGGTAAAGAAAGTTGAGCTCCGGGGGTACTTAAGGAATTTTTGGGTGAGGATGTGCCGCTGGGACCCTGAAACCCTTAGTCTATCGCAGAGCTAGTTCAAGTGATTTTTGCTACACTATACTAGACTAACTCCCCAAATCCCCCGTCCCATATCCTATAGTAGCTGTTTTCCAGAAACTACTGTAGTCACTAGCACAGTTCAGCCAAAACAAAACCGATAATTTGATTTTGTTATATTTTTGACTGACAATTCTCGGTTTCTGCATAGTCTAGACTAATAGATCAGTTTCCTGGAGAATGATACGCTATTCTAGACCCAAAGTCTGTGATGTGTACACCCTATCCCAGAGTAAACTGCTTGAAAACCATACCCTTCCAGTGGCACATACCCATATAGCCCATATATGGCAGTCCCCCTCCCGGGGAAGTTAAGTCCAGTAGTTTCCGCGCATATTAGCGTTCACGTTGTCCGTGTAAAGTTGCCTTAAACAGAAGCAGAAGCTCACCATAGGAGTCTTTCTTTTGGGTTAGGGTTAAAATGCAAGTGGGTTAGCCTTCATAGTGATTCAAGAGTTCGTGTAGAGAGGACCCCGGGGACGGACCATAAAAAAATGTTCTATATATCTTTTTGTTCCGCTTTCTTAGCCGGTATAGAATTTTTTTCTGTCTGTCCCGACATAATGCTCATTTGAAGCGAGTGTTTCTTTGTCTTTTTTTTACTTATTTTTCTCTAACTCTTATAAGGAGTCCGGATTTGACCCTGGGTTGCTATTTTCTTGAGTTTCTTTTTGATAGAAACACTCTAAAAAATAGGTCAAACATTTCCCGTCTTAAAAAATGACAGCGACTGCTTGCGTATTCAGAAATATCTACAACCGAGCGCGGCACGGAGCTGGGTTTTGCGTGGACATAAAACTGACCTTGGTAAGAAATACGGTTACCGTGGTCGGTTGATACCGTGATGGGTAACAAACCGAGGCCGGTTGACGGAAACCGAGGTCGACCTTTGACTCGACGTCGGTTGCTCGAACCCAGGCATACGTTCTTGAACTGGATCAATAGAGGGATCAATAGAAGGTATGTAAGTCAAACCACGGACGGTTTTGGAACCGAGAACGGTTTCTAGAACCTAGGTCTTTTGCTCGGAACAATCTATTGATCCCGTTCTTTAATTTGTTCAACCTGCGGTCGTCACTTGACTGTTGTAAAAAAGAAACATTCTGTTTTGATTGTTGTGTAAAAGGCAAATAGCATTAGATGAACGTTAGTACTACAGTTGTTTATTCGTTCTCTTATCGAGTTCTCGCTAGGTCCTTTTTATTGAAGTGTGATACATGATTCTTCCACCGCATTTCCTCGTTTAAGGGAAGTGTCCTTTCCAACTCCACCCCCTCCGCCCTCCCCAAAGAGAATCAATCTCGTTTGGAATGCCCCTGTTTATCAATAGAGCTAAGTAAGTGTAAGGCTTCAATGTTGCCTGACGTTGCAAGCATGTTGCAACAGCATACTAGAGGGTAAAATGTTATCTCAAATTTTCTGGCGAAAAATCTGCCTATGAGGCTCAAAAGGTGGATGGTGTCTTTAATAGCGCCCTCCTACCTTTAGTCAAGTTGAATCGTCATTGGCTCACGTATTTTGACCACCTCCCTGAGCCAAGTTCCGCTTTTAAAAGGCCTCCATCAAAAAGCTTAAAGGTGAAAGGAGGTGCCATGCTGGAATAACACAGTAATGCTCCCCTCCTCCGAATCTTTCGCCCTTCCTCCGTACATAATGGTTTGTAGAGGCTGAAGAGAAAACATTGGGAAGAAAATGGAAAACCATTGACCTGCTCGAGGAAATGCGGTTGAGCATTAAGAGCCATGTACGTTAGGTTACAAAGTTATCGTAAATGTATGTATTGGTCTTCTTAATAAAGCCTCGATACTGTCATGAACATGATAGTAACGCTATGCGGTAGCCTTCAGAGCGGACTTGCCTAACCGTTATTCTCACTTCCCGCGCCGATGATCGCAGCGGACAACTCCCATTAACTTCCCATTAATGCATTGGAGCCTTAAAACAGCGTCTTACAATTTACGGTCACAGATACATACCGCGAGTGTCCTGTCTTACACATTTGGCTCGATTCGCCTAGAACAACCCTTCCGAAATCAAGGTAATTAACCTGGATGCCCTTTCACAAGCTCTCTCACTCCAGGAGAGCTTGCTTGCAGGCTAACCATTATCAACTGAAGCACACCAATTCTCGTTGATATAATTTATACAATTGTGATTGGATGCTAGATAGCTGACGTCATTATACGTCGCTGTGCTATACACACCCAATCTAATTCGGTGTCCGCTTTTGATCTAATTTCGCAGTTTCTTAGCACAATCACTAATCTAAGCTTTGTAAAGTCGCTGTTTCTACCATAGTCCGTGGACCGTGCTTGCAGGTTTGTTTCTTAATTTCTGTTTAATCTATTACGTAAAATGAAACTCAATGAAGATGGTCTTTTCTTTGAGGACTCATACGGTCGTGCTAAACGCATCTTACACGGAGCATGAACTTAAAGAACATTCGCGATCTCTCAAATGTTCAACCAGTGACTGATCAATGAAAAAGTTAAACTGTTCGGTTTACATTACACACGTTAGCTTAGCAAAGTAGAGAAGTGCTTGCAGGTTTGCTTCTCACTTTTTGTTTAATCTATTACATGCTATTACGTAAAACGTAGCTCAATGAGGGATGGTCTTTCCTTTGAGCACTCACGATGTCGTGCTATTCTCGGTTTTGACATGACGTCATCAAAATTCAAACTAAGAAACTATCGATTCTTCTGAGATTCTGAGTTTCATGAGGTATTACAGCACCTAAACACCTTTATTAAAACAGAGGTTTGGTTCGAAAGGGTTCTTCGTTTTGCGATAGAGGACGTTTGAATTTCTAGGCTTTTGCGTGACGCGGCATTTAGCTGGCGGCCGGGACTGCTCTTCTGTGGGTTAAAAACATTACCAGTTTTGGGAGATTTTGCTATCTAAACATTCCTTCTGTCAGAATAAATATCACTTTAATAGTTTATGAGTTTTTTAAGCGATGAATTAACGCATTAGTAGGAAAACTCAAAAACAGATGTTTCTGTTGGTTTCCGGCGGCCATATTTGTGCCCCTCAAAGGGACACAAACATGGCGCCTCCATACAAAGCTTTATAAATTTGGGTAAAACGTTTTTCCTAATATCTCGCATATGAAATATCGCACAGACCTGATTCTTGGCAAGGTCTTTTGCTTATTTATCTTCTTTTATTTCCAAGATTCGGGACTTTCTGTATCGAATGGTTTGCAATTTTATTTTTGATTGCGTGACAGTGAAAACCGAGAATTGAATCTTTTATGCTAAACGCATCATAAACCGACCATGAACCTAAAGAACATTCGCGTTCTCTCAAATGTTCAACCAGTGGCTGGTCGATGGAAAAGCTAAACTGTTCGGTTTACATTAGAGGGTCTGAATGGGGGAGTCCACATATCGGTTGTCAATTAAAATTTTCGGTCTTTGTCGGTTGTCGGTAAATCTTGGTAAATGAATAACAAAGCGAGTTAATCATTCATATGCGTTTTTTAATTCACACAGTTTAAACTCTAAACAAGTACAAAACTTCTTAATTCATCGTCAATTCATCATTTGATTGCAATGGAACTTCATTTTAAGTCTGGTTTGTTTGGCTACGCGATCGTTTGTTTCAATTTTGTTAGCAAAGACCGATAAAATCCCCAAACATTTAACATTGAAATTTGTTTTATTTCCGATGACCATGACTTCTCCCATGACGCCGTTACTTAATACGTTCTGTGATTCCGAAGGTGACTGAGGAGACTAATCCAAGCACGAAAGTGTCTGCCACATGAGAAGTCACGTTTATTGTCAAATTCTTTTTTGACTCATTGTCTTCCCTCAATTCAGGCAAAAATTGACGACTTTCATATTTTTATTAATATCTCTGCAGGTATTTGGAATTTTAAGTGATTTACATACCTCAGGCACCCAACGAGAATATAGTTCAAAACCACTTAAACATAGCATTGTTAAACGTATTTTAGTATTTAAACGGTAGATACAGGCATATTTTTATCCCCTACAACTTTTTCATCTGTTCGGATTTCCTAGCTGAAAGTCTAGTGATCCGAAAATTATAGGGATCAAAACTTACCTTTTCGAAAATTTGAGCCAGAAAAAGGTTCCCGAAAATTTTAGGTGACCTTTTTAGGGTAAAAATCCGTTAAAAATGGGCAATTATACCATTTTTTAGGTGTTCGAAAATCCTAGGAGAGGCAAACAAGCAAGAAATTGTACAACAAATGTTCCGAAAATTCTAGATCTCAAATCGTCTTCCGAACATGCAGATATTTTCCGAAAATTGACGTTGGGTGCCCCTGATTTGTTCAAAAGCTTGATAGCGCTATCCACCGTACCGGTTAAATCACCTTCCATTGGATAGTGCAATTCGGTTTCCCCAAAACTTGTCCACTGGATAGTGATTTATCCGGTGGATAACGCTATCCAACGTTTGAACAACCGGGGCCTTGTCTGAAATAGAGCTGACTAAAAGACCTTCCATCTGCTGGAAACAAATCAAGCGAAATACATTTGGCAAAATAGGAAAATAAAAAAAATAATAAATAAAATACGATTCATTTTTGAATACAAATTAACCCACAATGTTGGACCATGTAGGTTGTCGGCTAATTTTTTTCCTGTCGGTAGTCAGTAATTTTTTTCTCGTTTTGTCAGTAGTCAGTTACATTTTTTGCCGTTTGTCGCTAGTCGTTCAACCCCATTCAGACCATTACGTTAGCTTGGCAAAGTAAATACGATTTATTTCTGGGTTAATTATTTAAATCAGTTGGCTTCACTGAACCCTAACGCGAGAAACACTAGGTTCTTGTTCTTTTAGTTTGACGTTCAACTTGTGTTGTAATGGGCAATGACTAATTCTCACATTGCTTTCGACTGAAAAAAGTAACTTATCGCGAGATTTTTATATTTCAAGATCTTCCCGTCTGCTTCAGAGGCTGCTAGACCGTGAATTGTCAATACACTATTGTTGACTCATACCCTCGGAACGCGTTCAAACCTGAAACGTGATGGTTTACTTACCGACAGACAAAAGCTACAAGTCACCATAATACATTTAATGTAGTTGTAGGTGTATTTAAAGTAAATTTGTTGATCGCGTGATATATTTCAAGGCTCACGTGACATCTGAGTAATGCCTTTTCCCTGCAAACGGCTGGTCCTTCGATTCACTTGGATGGCCATATAAAGTTTCAATCCCGCTTCCAGTAGGAAACGTAAAAATAGTGTTTTAAGTTTTTTTAGTATTATTATTTATAAATAGAAAAGGGAAATTAATTCAGAGATTGATTAGCCTGCGTAGCAGGCGCTGGGAAATAAATGGGCGCAAAAGAAAACACGGGCGGGCGCGAGGGAAACACGCGAGGGGTTGATAATCTTGTAGGTAAAGAATTTTCCCTTGGGGAAAAATATTTTGTGCCAACCTAGAGTGATTTTACTTGAACCGTGAAACAGATATTAACAAATGGTGCAAAATAGCGAGATGTAAACAAAAATTCTACTACCTATTTCACGGTTCAAGTACAATCACTCACCTGAATGCTTTGTATTCTTAATATACCTTGTGTCATTTTGGTAGTTGTTTGGTTGATAAAGGTGCTACATAAGATCTCAACCTATTTTACCTTTTTGTGTCTCCAGTGCGATGTAGATGTGAAAAACGAACATGTCAGAAGCTGCGACGAACTACGATTCAAATAACAGCGATGCTGGCCCACCTCAGCTGGCTATTGGTCTTCCATCCATAAAAGATGTTACAACAACGTTGAAACAGCCAGATCTACCCGTTGATATTCTTTTAGTAACCGTTAAGGACTGTGAGTTCTTAACTTGTTACAATGAGCTAAAAGATCCCTTTAGATATCATTTTGATGGTCTTGGTTACGTTTACTTCGCGGACGTTGGCGGAAGTCAGCCAGGGCGAGTGAAAGTAGCACTAATGAAGTGTCATCAAGGTTCTAACGGTCCGGGTGGCTCTCTCACTGCCGTTAGGAATGCCGCCCCTATTCTACGACCTAAAGCCGTTATATCTGTTGGGGCATGCAGTGGTCTCAACCCTGACAAAACCAAGTTAGGTGACGTTGTTGTATCAGCCAAACTAACAACATATGCATCCAAAGTAGTGACAAGCGACCAAGAGCAGTGGGCTGGTATTAGCAGTTACGTGAGCAGACGCTTTCTTAACATCATCACGAATTGCGCTGATGGGTGGCAACCACCATTGAAGAACCCAGAAGATCGCCGCATCAACGTTCATAACAATGGCGAGTTCTTAAGTGGTCCCGAGCAGATCAAAGCAGAATGGAGGTGAAAAGAACTTCTAGACCGTCATCCCCTCGCAAAGGGTGTAGAGATGGTGGGGGAAGGTGAGTGCATGTCACTTTTAAAAGCGCCTCAAGCGTACGCCATCTACAAAACCCCAAGGTCATGTGGGTAGCTATAATTCGACCATATCTTCGCCGGTGTCCCCACCAAAGAATGGTGTACCTTCATGGAGTAGTTTGATACATTTTCATTGCTTTGCGTTCTTGTCACGTGTGCTTTTTGGCTTCGTTCCATAGCTGTAAACCTAGAAATTTAAAGAAAGAAGGAATATTATAGTTTTAGTGAATATCTCCATGGCGACTACTTTAGATATTAGTTGGCGGTTTTATTGGATAATAACGTGAAAATAGGTCACGTGTTTACACATAAAGCAATAACTGATTTAACTTGTCCTTTATCGACTGATATATATATATATATATATCTGTCTGATTTTGGAAAAAGGTACCCTACAACAGAAGAGGGTCTGTAACAAATGTGTGTCTTTTCTGTGGTTTCAATATTGACTTAACTTCTAAATTACCAAAAAGGCCTTAGAGTGGCCAAGCTTCTTTCAAGTATGGTAGAAATTGGCTAATGAGCCACACCCCTTCTCCCCCTATTCCCCTCACCCCTGCATCCGAGGCCCTTGTCGTAACAGCTTATATGGGCCGGAGCAGAAAAACAATAAACTAACAGCGTGCAATGACTTCAATGCTTGCGTGCATGACCACTACTGTATAACGGAACGTTAGATAGCTACTCTAGCCAATAGTTGGGACTCTGAGAAAGGTGCCCTTTTCTAAAATCAGACAGAAAATTAATATGTGGTAATTTCGCAAATGACTTTCTCCACTGGCCAGCTATCTGCTGCAGTAAGTATTCAAGCGGTACACAAATCATTACTTATCCAGCTACAGTGAATAATATGTGGTAATTTCCCAATGACAAGGTAACTGCACCAATATGAATGCACTCAACAGCTTTCTCTAATAGCCAGCTATCTGCTGCCGTGAATATTGAAGCAGTACACAAATCATTGCTTATCTGTTAGGGTGAATCAATACGTGGTAATTTCCCAAACGACCATGCAGCTAACTGCACCAATGAATACTCATCCACTTTCTCTAATGGCCACCTATCTGCTGCAGTGAATATTGAAGCAGTACACACATCATTGCTTATCTGTTAGGGTTAAATTAATAATTAATTCTGTCTGATTTTGGAAAAAGGTACCCTACAACAGAAGAGGCTCTGTAACAAATGGATGTCTTTTCTGTGGTCTCCAAAATTGACTTAACTTCTGAATTACCAAAAAGGCCTTAGAGTGGCTAAGCTTCGTTCAAGTGTGGTAGAGGTTGGCCAGCGAATCACGTCCCTTTCCCCTCAAACCCCCCCACCCCCCACCTCCACCTGCTTCCGAGGCCCTTGTCCCAACAACTAATATGGGAGGAGTATAACAAACAAAAAGTATGCACTGATTTCTACGCTCTAAAGAGTACTTTTATACAGAACAAGAACACTGAAAAAAGTGAACAAATTTCTTAAGAAAACACGATCCGAACAAATCTCGGATTACGCCGTTTTACGCTATTTAGAAAAAGACGGACAATTATTTTGCGCGCCCTTCAATAGAGAGGGCCTGGGCTCCACCAGAGTCGACGCAGTAAGAGACAAAACTGCGGAATCCAACTTCGCTTGAATTGGAAATATCATCAGTCGCCTCCATACGAATTTGACAAAAGAAAAGCTTAGGAGAAACATGTCCTCTACGGCGGGGTAAGTTACCATGATAACTGAGTTAGCGGGTGGCTGATCGAATTGGCCCGCGTGTGATGATAGCCGCCGCCATTTTAGCTGCACTATTCGTGTCTCGTTTTCCTTGATTTGGCGGCGGGGTGGGGGGAAGAAATTCTGGGTCAAAATAAGCACCTTTGGGTCTTGAGTTTGTCTTGGTGGGTGCGTAGTTGATTTTAGCTAAGATCTCGTCAGTAATCCAAGGTGTGGTGGATAATTTCTTCTCCTTCTTCGGACATTGACAAGTGAATTCAACTCATCAGAAACAACGACAACAACAACAGCTTTATTTCAGTATTCCACGTGAGTGCATGGTATTACCTACATTATTCGTTACAAATCTGAAATCAAAACAAAGGCTATGATATGAAAGAACAAGTTTTTGTCTACATTCCATACATGACTGCATGTAAGGAGATGAAAGTCTGCAGATATCAGGATCGACATTGTCAAATACGAAGAGGGTTTCTTCATTGTTGTCAAAATTCTTAAAAAGGGGATGTCCAATCCTAATGTCTCGGTAAAAGTTAGATCGAAGACTATGGAAGGGGCAAATGCGAAAATTTTCTAGAGTTTTCGGTACTGGGGGACTTATGTTGATTATGCTCAAGCAATCATGCACTTTTGTGACAGTCAATTTTGAATACTGAGTAAAATTTTAGTTTCTTGTTACTTCGTATTAGATTATATTGGTGTGAAGTCAGTTCTTCACGTATAGTTAATTGGACATTTTTCATATCTGTTGAGGAGTTGTTATCATTTGAATACAACAACAACAACAACAAGTTTAGCCAGTATTACCATTTTGTACAGGTGTTACCGATTAAAATAACAGTAATAAACAGCTAAGTTTAAGGGAATGCAGATATGATGGAACGGTAGAATTAACTATGTTTCTTTCGTCTTTCAAATGCTTGAAAGACCAAATTAGCAGCTAGCCTGCTGATATGTGAATCAGTATTGTTAAAAAGAAAACAGACTTTATCATGGATATTGTAATGTGTAAATAGTGTATTTCGGTCGTTGATTTTAAGAAAAAGAGTCTTTCTCAAATCATGGTATTGATCACAGTGAAATAATATATGTGCAGTTCATTTTCAACCGAATTTTGGTGGCAATGATCACAGATTCTAAGGTCTTCAGGAGTTTTGGGGATTATAAGTCTTCCGGTTTCTATTTTTAAATTGTGATTTCCTATCCTAAATTTGGAAGCTACACGCCTATGTTCAGGATTCCGGATATGATTGATGAATTCAGAGTGATTTGTTTCATTTTTAAAGACGGAGTAGAATTTTAGTTTTTTATTTGTTCTTATCAAATTTAGCTGGTGGTTTTTCAGATGTTTTGACAAATAATTCTTCTCAGCTTTGGATAGGAAAGTAGAAGGGTTTTTGTGTCAGGGGGTTGATTTTCAAGCTGAATCCAGATTGTAAATGGTTGCTGTCCTCCAAATGCTTTTTATCGTTTAACATGTGTATTTGAAATGCCGATAATGTATTGGGATCAGGTGCTGAGTGTATCGTTTTAAAATGATCGTAAAGTTTATTGGTCGGGTTTTCGTTATATTATTATAAGACAAGCCGTTTTCGTTCATTGACTTTAGAGTATCCCAAAATGTGCGGTCATTTTCATTACTAATCAACTCATTTATTTTAGAGTCAACAAATTGTTGTTGTTTTTTTTTGTTTGATAAGTTTTTTAAAGGTTCTATTTTGAACATGATATTCTTTTCTGAGTTCGGTATCCAAGGGATTGCGGTTTTTTTTTGGTTAGATAACTTTTTAAGTGAAGATCTTAAAGTTTTGCAATCATAATCAAACCACTTCTTAGTAATTGGCTTTCTTTTAGATTTCTTTTGGCTACTTAATTTGACTGAACGTTTTGCTGCCTCCGTCATAATGTTTGTGAATTGATTGGTAGCATTTTCAACATCTGTACTGCTTAAATCGAAGTTTGTACTTTCGAAGAGATGTAATAGAGACAGAATATCGTTGGAACGAAAGTGCAGCAGTGAATTTTGCTGCAGACGTTTCGTCCCAGACATATTGTTGTGGAAGCTAGGAAGTGAATGATAAAAAGTGTGTTCCCAAAAATGTAATGTCTGCAACAATTTTGTGTAATGTCCGCAACGCAAACGTCTGCTTGTAGAATCACTGGAACAAGGTTGCATGGAATTTTTTTCTGACAG